AGTGTACTATGCGAAAGACTGAAGCCCAACATAAACGAACTGATTGGGCCTTATCAGTGTGGCTTCAGACCTGGCAAATCCACCATAGACCAGGTATTCACAATACGCCAAATCTTGGAAAAGACCCGCGAGAAAAGGATCGACACTCACCACCTATTTGTCGACTTTAAAGCCGCTTTTGACAGCACTAAAAGGAGTTGCCTATACGCCGCTATGTCTGAATTTGGCATCCCCTCAAAACTCATACGGCTGTGTAAAATGACGTTGAGCAATACCACCAGCTCCGTCAGAATTGGAAAAGACCTCTCCGAGCCGTTCGCCACAAAACGGGGTTTCAGACAGGGCGACTCCCTTTCATGTGACTTCTTTAATCTGATGTTGGAGAAGATAATAAGAGCTGCAGAACTGAACCGCTCAGGAACAATTTACTACAAGAGCGTGCAATTGCTGGCTTATGCCGATGACATCGACATCATCGGTAACAAAAACCGCGAAGTCTGTTCTGCCTTTTCCAAGTTGGATAGGGAAGCAAAGCGCATGGGTCTGGTGGTAAACGAGGACAAGACGAAGTATCTCCTGTCATCAAACAAACAGTCAGCACATTCGCGCCTTGGCACCCACGTCACTGTTGACAGTTACAATTTCGAGAAAGTAGAGAATTTCGTTTACTTGGGAACCAGCATTAACACCGATAATAATGTCAGCATTGAAATCCAACGTAGAATCACTCTTGCCAACAAGTGCTACTTTGGACTGAGTAGGCAATTCAGGAGTAAAGTCCTCTCTCGACGTACGAAAACCACGCTCTATAAGTCACTCATCATGCCCGTGCTGGTATATGGCGCAGAAGCATGGACAATGACAACATCCGATGAGGCGGCTCTTGGAGTGTTTGAGAGAAAGATTTTGCGGAAGATTTACGGGCCTTTACGCGTTGGCGACGGCGAGTACCGCAGACGATGAGCTGTATGAGCTTTACAACGATATGGACACAGTGCAGCGAATTAAAATTCAGCGGCTCCGCTGGCTTGGTCATGTCGTTCGAATGGACACCGACGCTCCAGCTCTGAAAGTATTCAAATCGGCACCCGCTGGTGGTAGCAGAGGAAGAGGGAGGCCCCCACTGCGATGGAAAGACCAGGTGGAGAAGGACTTGGCTTCACTTGGCATTTCCAATTGGCGTCAGTTGGCACAGAAAATAAACGACTGGCGAGCTTTGTTGAACTCAGCCAAAATTGCTTAGGCGGTTACAGTGCCAAATAAAAAGAAGAAAATACGCATTCGAGTATTGATAGTTTTTGATAACTATCAGGTGTTGCTGTGCGCGTATCGAAAAATCCAGCAAAGTAGGGGAAATTGAGAGACCAAACTGACATTTCATTTTGTTGAGAAGCTGCTAGTTTCTGCTGGAAAAAGATTTGCCAGCAGCAATTTGTCAGTACGAAAAACAGCTGATCAAAGTCATCTGTTTGCAACTTATGAAAATTAAATGAATGTTGTGGTGTGTATATTGATCAGCTCAGTAAACGTGTAACATCTCTGAGTGTGGTTATTCTGATTTGATTTTTATTTAAGTGAAGAGCATAGGTCACTTATGGCCCTTATTATGAATTGCATTCGATTTTCGATAACCAACGAACTTGTGCACTTCATGGTCCCCACCGAAAATTTATGCAAAATAATCGAAAAGGGGTATCAAAAGAGGCGTATTATTGTCAATATTAAGAATTCTAAGGCGGAAACTGATTTTTTAAACCGTCCAAAAGTTATTTGCAAAAAACCGTTTCATTCAGCTCAACTATCTCAGTACTAAATTCACGTTAATAACTGCATTAATTGAACACATATTGGTATCTCGATGTTCACTATAGTTAACTTTAATTAAATATTAATGCGAAAACGATGTACAAAAAACGCGTCGCATTTATTCTGCTAGTTGCAGCTAGGTATAATAAAAACATGGAGGTGCTTGGTGTTGCCAATATATTACGTTTAGAGAGGATCCTTATCATGAGTTACATTTTCCCCGAACCGGTTAGCTTTTCACGTATGGTTTCCATGTATTTATTATGAGCGGAATACAAATTTTCGGGTGAAATTTTTTCGGGCTAAACTCAGGATAAGGCAGTGATGCCAAAAACAATAAAGGTGAAAGACTTTAAGTTTTTTACAATTAAAGAACTGGCAGAACTTTTTTCTGCGTAGGCGTATGTATAAGCACACTTTTTAGTTTGCTCGAATTGTAAACAAAGCTTCTCAGGGGTGAAAAATATACTAATTTTTTTTTTATAATGCTACATATGAATCTTTATTTTAAATGCTTGGTTACTTCTAACTGAATTCATCTGTAAATAGCCAGTCATAAACTTATGCAAAAACTTGTTACCTTTGACGGATGAAGTTGAACGAATAATAGACGCGCTCAGATATATCGTCGCCTGGGTAAAAGATTGTCGTATACTAATTTCGGCAGGTTGTGGGAAATCGCGATTAAAGTTTGGAATGCAATTTCTCAAAAACGCGAAGATAGATTTTCTCCAAAGTCTCTGAAAATGTTACTAGTTCACGAAATTATTAAATTATTTAATTTTTAATGTTTATTGTTACTTAGTTTTGAGTTTATGAAGGATTTTCTTTAGTAAAATTTTGTCGTTAGCGTCATTTGTCCACAATTTGGCAGCCACTTTGTATGAAATACGATCAAAATTTCTACCAAATTAACTACACTTTTTACTCAATCAGCCCCGGGAAATTTTTCTCTACTCACTGTCCTCCTATTCCGAATAAAACTTCCCTGGTTTTTTTTTTCCCTTTCTCATTAACAATGTTCGAAAAGAGGGAAAACCTGTTTGTGAAAAATGTATCTATCACGAATGTAAGAAAAAAGGGAAAATGTGATGGCATTCTCAAATAAATTTTTCTCAAGCAAAGTATAAGGGAGCGCTAAGCAAAAATGTAAGTATTTGAATATTTTTATAGACAAAATGCTAAAAATATTTTTTAGGTCGAAAACCACAAATAAACAGCAAATTTAAATTTTAATAACTTTAATGCAAAGCAATGTTGGGATCGCTCGAGGATTTTATAATGGGGGCAAAGAGGAGCTTGGCATGTTTTGGCGCAGAGCAGAGTGTGAACTTAATTCGGCAGGACCACCGACTAAAAGTGTTGCCGAATGGAAGAAGGTAACTATGATCAATAAACTTTTGGTAAACAGAGTAATTAAAGTATTATACCCCAGGTGTGGGCAGATCAAAAAAGTACGTTCGGCATAAGGCAGCTCAGAACCTTAAACACAGCAAAGGTACTGGTGGTGGACCAAATGCTGAAGTGAAATTCTCGGCTACCGAAAGTGCCCTATACAATTAATAGGAATGAAAGAGTCCGTGGAAGGTGTAGGAAGAGTATTTGGCATAAACTCAACCGTTGATGTAGAGGGAGAAGTAACATTTCAGCAAGAGGAAACATCAGTTGAGCGACTAGAGTTAGTAGAAGCAGAACTCCAGCAAGAAGGGGCAGTGGAAATGGATTGGATATGTTTGGAAGAAGCTGTAGTTCCTCAACAAACTGTTACGTCCACGAAACGTACTCCATCACGTAAGGAAGTATCCAAACAAAAGGAATCTACAGCTATTTTATCGGAGGAATTAAAAATTCAGCGCGAACTTTGCGATACAGTGAAGGATGCCGTTGTTGACCAACAGCAAAATATGAAAAAGCTTTATAAAGCAATTGACGGCCTTTATGCGATTCAAAAGCATCACTTTAAAGAAATGGAAAGAATGAAGCTTAGTGAAATTGAAGAAACTAAACGGCATAGTTTGGCTATGGAACAGTTACAACTTAAAAAAAATGTGGCTAAATTGAAAGAAAATCGTCTGTTGCGTCAAATAGAGAATTTAAAACTCAAATCAAAAAGAGACTAAAAGTACCTTATTTTTTTATGTATATATACCAGTAAAGACTGAAATGTGCCTTATTTTCGAATATATTAGCTTAAGAACATGTGAATTTACTAGCAATAAGAAAATGTGATTTTTTTAAGTATTTATAGTTATAAGAACTGAATTTTTTGTTATGTATATATTTATTCATACGACCATGCGACCTTTTCGTATGTACACAGGAAATGACTAAGCATTTTGCCGTCACTCAAAATTGATATTTACAATAATTTTTAGACGAAAAATAAGAATAGTATAAATTGTTGGAAAATGGGCGTAGCCACGCCCACTTATGGTTACATGTGTATATCTTGGTAACCGCTGCACCAATTTCTTCCAAACTTGGCACAGTTGTTGGCCTTGGTACAGCATAAAAAATCGCCGAAAATTTTTAAAATCGGACAATAACCACGCCCACATCCCATATAACGGTAATTTAGAGAAATACAAAATCTTCGATAAATCAGTAAATATTGAAGCTAATTTATTCAAAATTGATGCTTGCAACAATTCTTTACCAAGAAATACGTTTATGGTAAAATTTTGGAAAATGGGCGTGGCACCGCCCACTTATGATCACATATAAGTATATCGGTAACCGTTCTACCAATTTGTACCAAACTCGGTGTGGTTATTGTGCTTGCCACATATAAGCAAAACGTTGAAAATTATTGAAATCTGACTAAAATAACGGCCGCTTCTCATATAACGGTAAATTTCAGAAATGCTTGAAACTTCAATATTTCGAAATTGAAGGACGCTAATTTACTCAAAATTGATACACCCCGGCTTACCATCTAGCGGAAGGTTTCGGAAAGGTGAAAAAACATATATTTAATACTTGCGCCGGGTATTTAATGTTCGGCTCCGCCCGAACTTAGACTTTCTTACTTGTTTGTATTAGCGTTAGTGTAAGAACGAAATTGAATTTTTTTATAACTTATCTCATAATAAAAAAAGTTGAATGGAGAACAGTTAAACTGAGTGTTTCATTAAAATTGATTTTATTAAAATTTGGATTATTAATTCATTGTTTTAAATTAAAGTTGGTTTGCTTTTTTATCTTAAAATCTAAAGAGTTTGCAATTCGGTTTCTTATATTTTGTGCTGCAGCCAAATACTGGGGCGAGGTTAAATAGGTAACATCTGTATTTTCACTAATTTGGATTATCTGTTCCTCCGCTGGGTTTACTTCGCTTATATCTGTGTATGCCTTAAAATGTATGCATATATTGTGTAACGCACAACAAACATTCACTATTTTAACTGCTTTTCTGGGAGTGTGATGCAGTTCTCATGCCCCAAAGAGACACCTCTACCGATTCTTCAGCACTCCATTAACTCGTTCAATCAAGTTACGACATTTCGAATGGGCTTCATTAAATTTTAGCTGGTTGGAGCCTTCTTCTGGGCTTCGATATGGTGTCAGGAGCCATGGTTCCAAGGGGTATCCAGCGTCTCCTAATTATAAAAAATGTGTCGTATNTTACCTAGCAACCAAAAATTTCCTTCACCTCGCAAATACTGTGTTTCAAGGTGAGTTCTCAACAAACTGCCATTCCAAATAAAGGAGTCATGAGAAGCAGCAGGATGGGAGGCATCAACATACCGAATTCTAAGCTCGTGGTCGTGGTCTACCAATATATAATGACACGCATTCGTTAACATACATATGTATATACATAAAAATTTTCAGTTTAGTTGTTATACAAGTAAGGCTTTTAAATAACAGCTTACCAGCATCACATTTAGGTTATAGTATCCGTTCCTATTGTAGTATAGGTGCTTATTTACAGAGGGTGCGATGATACGAATATGTGTTCCATCAAGACACCCTACAATACTGGGAATACCATGTTTTTCGTATAATGTACGTGAAATTCGTCTTCTTTCATCGCTGCTCATTGACGCATTTATCCACCTTGAGCACAACAACGTTTCAAAAATATCTGTCACTTCTTCCAGAACTTTACTGAAGGCGGACTGGGCTAGAGAAACGTCGAAGTCCTTTCCAATTCCCGTTCGATATCCTCCTTCAACAAAGAAACGCAAACATGCGCTCAGTTTTATAACAGGCGAAACTGCAAACTGTTTTTTAGCTTGCTGAGTATGCGAGGTTAGGAGTTTCAACAAATATCGAAAAGCGGGCTTATTTGCCCTATAATACTTCTGAAACCTGTAAAAGCAGGAAATTATTTAAAATATACAAAATATGTGTGCTGGTATTTACAGTGATTGCGGCAAATCAAGTGGATTCGTACTATCGCGCAGCCTCCTTCTTATACACCTCTGCTGAGTTTCCTGAAGCTCCGATTCGGCATATGTCTCCTCAACTACCATCCGAAAGGCAATACTATGCATTATTTTAATGTTTTCTTTAAAAACTATTAAATTCAACAAATAGTTTAAACTTTTGAATTTCCTCAATTCACACAGAAATGTCAAAATGAGTTGTCATTTGCTTTGCCAAAATCGAAAATTCGAAATTCTCTTTCCCTTTTCCTCTTCACTCCGCTAGTTTAGAATAGGGGGATTTTATCTCGAGAAAAGTAAAATCCGCAGAATATTTAGAATCGGGCTGAATATCTCGGAAAGTAAAGGAGATATCCAAAAATGGAGAACGCCATTTTTAATATATTCAGCCATGCTCCCATTTTCAGAATCGCAAATATTTTGCGTTTTACTTTTCCAATCGCAAAATTACGTGCTCCAATATTTGCAAATCGGAAAATTTTTGCGGTTTCAAATCGGTTGCCGATGAGACGGTGGAATGAAAAGTAAATGGCAAAATTAACATAAATAACAAGCTAGCTTAGTTTAAATTTATTTTCGATTGTGCCCATTATATTTTGCGATATTTTTGGCGTCCTAAAATTAACTTATGTTGATTTTATTTGTTTAATTCACTATTTATTATACACATCTCCGTTTTGGACAACGAAAATTTATTGAAGCAACGAAGATTTACGATCAGTGTTGCCATTTTAGCGTTTTCCGGCTAGATTTAGCCGGTTGCGAGAGCAAACAGCCGGAAAAAGTTCGGTTTAGCCGGCAGCCGATTTGTTAGCCGTTTCGTAAAAAAAAAATAGCCGATTTTAGCCGATTTTGCTATTTTTCTTCTTTTCTTAAGACTCAAATATATATGTTTCCATTTTTGACTAAGCAATAATCAGTTAAAGAACTTTTTACTTAGTTACCAATGTATATCGTCGCCTGAGTAAAAGATTGTCGTAAGCGCCATTTTGACGATTTCTAGTTCTAGATGCAGTTATATATTTTGAAATAAGGTCTTTCGATTGGTGGTATCAGTTTTTAGTATCTCCTTTAGTTTCCGAGATATTGACTACAAAGTTTTCGATAATTTAGCAAAAATTTAGTTAGTGATGAAGTCATATTAAAATAATCAATATCTTAAAAATGGCGTTCTCCATTTTTGGATATCTCCTTTAGTTTCCGAGATATTGAGTAAAAAGTGTCGTTAATTTGGTAGAAATTTTGATCACATTTTGTCGTATTTCATACAAAGGGGCTGACAAATTGTGAAATAACGCTTACGACAAAATGTGACTAAAGAAAATCCTTCATAAACTCAAAACTAATTAACAATGAACATTAAAAATGAAATAATTTAAGAATTTTGTGCACTAATAACATTTTCAGAGAATTTGGAGAAAATCTATCATCGCGGTTTTGAGAAACTGCATTCCAAACTTCAATTGCGATTTCCCACAACCTGCCGAAATTAACATACGACAATCTTTTACTCAGGCGGCGATATGTAGTTAGGTCCTCTATGTTTTCTCATCTTTTATGTAAGCTCTTGCTCATTTACGCTTTACTATTTCTTACCNTTTACTTAATGTTTACGAGTTTTTTTTTTCAAATAAAAAGTAAAATGGACATAAGCGTTGATTTATTTTACAATGATGAAAATGTTGGTCCCAAAACTGATGTGCTGCGCATACGAAAAAGGCTTCGTGATCACTCGAATCCTTTGGAACTTCCAAGCACCAAGTAAGAAAAATTGTAGCGACAATTGAATGGGATTTTAATAATGTTTTTTTGCAGATTCATAAGCTACTTTCGTTTAAATAAGGAAGCATTTGCCTTTTTGCTAAACGAGATGGAGGAACATTTCCAGAAACGTGTGCGAGGAACGGCTGTACCTCCCATATTGAAATTATGTGCAACTCTCAGGNTTGTCATTTGCTTTGCCAAAATCGAAAATTCGAAATTCTCTTTCCCTTTTCCTCTTCACTCCGCTAGTTTAGAATAGGGGGATTTTATCTCGAGAAAAGTAAAATCCGCAGAATATTTAGAATCGGGCTGAATATCTCGGAAAGTAAAGGAGATATCCAAAAATGGAGAACGCCATTTTTAATATATTCAGCCATGCTCCCATTTTCAGAATCGCAAATATTTTGCGTTTTACTTTTCCAATCGCAAAATTACGTGCTCCAATATTTGCAAATCGGAAAATTTTTGCGGTTTCAAATCGGTTGCCGATGAGACGGTGGAATGAAAAGTAAATGGCAAAATTAACATAAATAACAAGCTAGCTTAGTTTAAATTTATTTTCGATTGTGCCCATTATATTTTGCGATATTTTTGGCGTCCTAAAATTAACTTATGTTGATTTTATTTGTTTAATTCACTATTTATTATACACATCTCCGTTTTGGACAACGAAAATTTATTGAAGCAACGAAGATTTACGATCAGTGTTGCCATTTTAGCGTTTTCCGGCTAGATTTAGCCGGTTGCGAGAGCAAACAGCCGGAAAAAGTTCGGTTTAGCCGGCAGCCGATTTGTTAGCCGTTTCGTAAAAAAAAAATAGCCGATTTTAGCCGATTTTGCTATTTTTCTTCTTTTCTTAAGACTCAAATATATATGTTTCCATTTTTGACTAAGCAATAATCAGTTAAAGAACTTTTTACTTAGTTACCAATGTATATCGTCGCCTGAGTAAAAGATTGTCGTAAGCGCCATTTTGACGATTTCTAGTTCTAGATGCAGTTATATATTTTGAAATAAGGTCTTTCGATTGGTGGTATCAGTTTTTAGTATCTCCTTTAGTTTCCGAGATATTGACTACAAAGTTTTCGATAATTTAGCAAAAATTTAGTTAGTGATGAAGTCATATTAAAATAATCAATATCTTAAAAATGGCGTTCTCCATTTTTGGATATCTCCTTTAGTTTCCGAGATATTGAGTAAAAAGTGTCGTTAATTTGGTAGAAATTTTGATCACATTTTGTCGTATTTCATACAAAGGGGCTGACAAATTGTGAAATAACGCTTACGACAAAATGTGACTAAAGAAAATCCTTCATAAACTCAAAACTAATTAACAATGAACATTAAAAATGAAATAATTTAAGAATTTTGTGCACTAATAACATTTTCAGAGAATTTGGAGAAAATCTATCATCGCGGTTTTGAGAAACTGCATTCCAAACTTCAATTGCGATTTCCCACAACCTGCCGAAATTAACATACGACAATCTTTTACTCAGGCGGCGATATGTAGTTAGGTCCTCTATGTTTTCTCATCTTTTATGTAAGCTCTTGCTCATTTACGCTTTACTATTTCTTACCTTCTTTTCACTGTTGGCTAAACCTTAGAATTTAAGTTTAGTTTAAAATTAAAACTTGTAATTGAGTTGTAAAAATGTACAAAAAACACAATATCTTACCGTACTTTTGAGATAAATAAATATTCAAATATTCAAATGGCTACTTATCGCGGATAAAATTTTCATGACAGGCAGGGTTATATAAAATTGGGCCGATTTCGCTTATTTTGATTTTAAACGAATATATTTTTTCTAAACAAAGATGTAGCGGGTATTTTTTTCATAAGGTGTTTGTTGTGAATGTCTTCAATTTAAGTGTGAAGTTTTATTCGTTAATAACAAATTGTTTCACTGTTTTCTTAACACGCGTTTGTTTTGATATAGTGCCAACACATAGAATAAATATTACAGGTGTTGTCTTCCCAAATAGCGCATATGCAATTCTGTCTTAACTAAAAAACATCATTGTTGCCCACGCTTAAGTTTAAAGTAAGGGAAAAATGGATATTTTCAAGCACTATGTACACATATGTATTTTTTTAAAAAACTCTTTTTTTGCTGAGAGCTTATTTAAGTCCCTATTACGGTTTACAACTCCACTCAGTTGAATTGAAATTGAAACAACTCAACTTTAAAACAACTTAACTCTTTTTTGGCATTACGAATTACAACTCACTTCAGTTGAAGTTGTATTGATGTNATTAGGAGGTTTTAAATATAATTGAGCAGCATATTTGTGGAAAATGGATTACAACCCAAATGACTGAAGAGGAGCAAAACGCGTCAAAAATTGCATTCTGTTCAAAAAGCGGATTCCCCGGAGTAGTGGGTTGTGTCGATGGGACTCACGTTCGCATCATTTCACCAAAAAAAGAAATGCAACATCTTTATCTAAACAGGAAAGGCTACTACAGTTTAAACGTCATGATTGTAAGTGAAAATGTAAAAAGCAAATAATACTTTAAAATAAAATGGTCATGACATCTATTTCGATTTCAAGCTTTGCGATTACAAAATGGCTATCCGGTATGTGGATGCTAGGCACGCGTGCGCAAATCCCGATTCCTTTGTTTTTAACGTAAGCGATTTGAAAGAGCATCTGCAGAGAAACATACAGAGTAATTCCTGGATTTTAGGGAAGACTGGTCATTAGTATTTAATACAAAAATAGATTGTTTAAAATATTCCTTAAATGTGACGCTGGTTACCCTCTACAAACTTTTTTAATGACTCCTTTCCGCATGGCAGAAGCTGGTTCACCACAAGCTCGTTACAATACAATACACTCTAAGGCTCGAAATATTGTAGAACGGACGATTGGAATATTGAAAAGCCGATTTCGTTGTCTTTTATCTGTGCGTGGCTTACATTATTCACCAGCAAAATCTACACAAATTGTGCACGCTTGCTGCGCTATGCATAATATTTGTCAACACTTTCGCGTGGAACTTTCTGAAGAAATTGCAACCGCTTTAAGTACGGAACTAAGCAATGAAAACCTAAACATTGAAACAGAAGACGAGGATGCCGCCAGAAGAATTCGCAATATTTTGTTATCCATTTAATAGAAATAAAAAACTCTAACTCACATTTAATTATTTATACTTCATTCAGTCTTCTTTTATTTTCAATGGTTAAATAACTTATATTTAATTTTCATTAAATATCACTTCATGTGCTCTTAAAATTAAGTTTTTCAAAATAGCTAATTTAAAGAAGTATCACTTCATGTGCTCTTAAAATTAGGTTTAGGTTTTGACCTGAGACTCGAAAAGAAACCAGAAAAAACGTTTTTCAAAATAGTCAGTTTAAAAAAAATATCACTTCATGTGGTCTTAAAATTAGGGATTGCAAAACTTATAATTAATAAAAAAAAATATTACTTGATGTTGTAAAATTAAATTAAAAAATATTTCAAATTATTAAATTAAAAGCCTTTCAATGTTTGTCAAATAAACATCAGTTCTCCATTCACGAACTGTTCTCGTCTTGCAAATAGCCTCTTAATTTAGCTATTTTTAATTGCTCAACCTCTACCTTCAACAAATGTAGTTCATGGGCTTCCCTAACCTGCCTTTCAAACAATTTATATTTTTGTTGCTTTATGTGCAGCAATTTTCTATTAATGTCGTAATTTTTGTACGCCGTCTTTTCCATTCTATCAATTTTTTTAGTACCTCTTTTTGCGTTTCTGCCTGCATTTTTAGGAGCTCTAGACGCTCAGTTTCTAAATTGCAGCTTCTGCGGCGATTTTGTACACGCGATGCTGACGAAGAGGGCCGATCTTCAATGTTTGCTACCTGGGGCTCATCAACCATGTACGAAACTGCAACTAAGCCGTCTTCTATTACTTCGCCATCCATCACCGGTGGTATATTCTCTAGCCCGGCCACTGGGTGCAACTTGTTCCCTTATCTGAATAAGTTCCGCAACACTTTCTTCTAGTGGATTTAAAGAAACCTCTTGCGACGGACCACCACCAGTTGCAAGAATATTGCTGCGATTGTTGGCAAGCTTCCTTTATAAATTTGCCTTATAGTGTATCCAAACCTACAGGAGAAATAAATTATTGGGCTTTCATTGTATTGGTCTAATTCCATGATTACTACTTACTCGTCCCCACTCGTGCGCAGTTCTTGTTGGTGGTCCTAAGCTGTTTAGCTCTATGGCAAAATGCTCCCACAATCCCTTGCTTTTACTTTTGATGCTTCCAAATTGCGGCTTGCCTCGTCCAGTTTCGGGATGCTTCTCCATCAGCTCAACTAGTTTTTCAAACTGTTGTTTCGTTGTAACATTATTTTTTCTACAAATTTGTAAGAAATTCCTGGTTAAGATATTGGTTTAAGACAAATAAAAAAAAATTAATTACCCGCTTTCCATTTTCGCTTAAAAATTTGTTCAAAACAACTGCTAGTAACGAGTTGTCGATTTTCGATACTTTTGTCAACCGAACTAGCACAGGGTGGTAAACGGTAATACCACAAAAAAGTTGTAATAGGCTGTTTTTGCTTACGCGTAAAAGCACATTTAGCGCATTTAGCTCTAAATGCTACTCTAAATGTACATTTATCCATACAAAATTCGTCACCTAAATGCAACTAAATGCAACTCCATTTTTGCATTAAGAATCTAAATGCTAAAAGCAACCCTGTGATCTTCCAAAATTTCCACGATTCGAACATGGTTTAAAGAGAAAAAGTGGCAACATTGCTTTTTCGAGTATACAGTTGCTAGCTGCGTTTCAGTGATCGCCGATCGAGATTTCTTTTATTTTGCATTACATATTTGGATAAAGAAAAGTTAAGCAAATTCAACATCGATTTGATGCTGATAGAAATCTGGATCAATTTGTGATCAACTCAGTTTGGTTTGTTTCCTAATTAAGTGAGGAAATTTTAATTGACAGCACCGACAGATGAATATATACACAAACAAATGTTCGGTTATGGTTAAAACAATTCAAGTTTTTGTATTGAATTTTTGGTTTAAAATTAATTTTTTCCTTTTCAGTAGGGTTTTTGCACATTATCTTCTGCGTGAGAATTGATCGTAATATATACGCATCTAAATAAGAGACTGGAACACGGCTGTTTGTCAAAAGCATACGATTTCGAACTCGCGTAAATGTACATTTGCTAAATGCTATAGCATGAACGCTCTTCGAAAACATATGTTCGAAAGTGCTAAATGTTGCATTTTAAATGCAGCAAAAACGCTGCATAAGACATATAAATACAACCAAAAATTTTTTGACAGGTTGAGTTGTTATCGATAATACCAAATTGTAAGTTTTCAACTGAAATGGAGTTGAGTTGTAAACCGTAATAGGGACATTAAACTCCAAAAACCGAAGGTCAACTTGAATTTAAAGAACCAACACTGAAATGCGTCAATTGAAAATAAAAGAGCACAAATTTCTATGTAAAGCAAAACTTTTTGGGAAGACAATAGGTTTGTTCGTCGAAAATCCAACGAGAATTATCACTAAAAATATCAGATAGTAAGAAAAAATGCTCCTAAATTCTCTCACAAGTAGAGAAACTTGCAAATTCTGCACGAATGCAAATTTGCAGGAATTTGCAAGTTTCCCTGCCAGCTAGTGTCCACGGTTGCATTTCTGACATAAGAAATTTGTATAGAATTTTCTAAATTTTTTCAGAGGGACAAAACAAAGGATCTACATGTAAATTTCTTGCTAGTCCAACTTTCTTCAACATACGTTTAAATTTCTTTGTCGTAGTAATGTTCGGGTTTCCTAAATCGGCTTTGGTTGAGATTGTATTCTCATTACGATATAGTTTTTTTCCGCCGAGTACCTTTCAAATCATTGGAATTAATTAAATTAATTCAGTAAACAAGTATTTACTTACATTTTTCATTTAAAATCGCTCACGCTTGTACATTTTTAAATTTGACGAACTTGTTTATTCAAATTATCTTCGACGAAAAATCCAATCAAGTGCCACAACCATGTGTTTTTCCTAATTGAAAATTCTTGCTGGCAACATTTTTTCCAGCTTTAATTTGAAACTTTTATCCAAGAACTAGTCTTTCTACTTGTGATTTGTTTAAATAAAACACGTGAAATTTAGTTTTAACAGTTTAGCCGTTTTTAGCCGGTTTTTTTTGCCGATTTAGCCGGTTGGTCCAAAAAGTTCTGGCAACACTGTTCACGATTTGGTGCGGACGATACATGTGCGATAATTGTTGCATACCTTCAAGGGATGGCTTTTAAGAATGCTGGAAACGATGTGGAAAATGGAACTTATCGATAACAAAAAGTTGCGAATTCAGGAGCACCCAAAAATACAAACATACGATTTTTATAAAAACGCAAATCGCAAAAGTAAGTGGAAGTAGGAGCACGGCTGATTGGTTAGTTTAATATGGCTGCATCACTAACTAAATTTTTACTAAATTATCGAAAAAATTTTAGTCAATCAGCCCTATTCTGCATTTCGATTACGTTCCCGCATTCCGCTCCGCTGGAATCGAACTTAGGTATTCTGCGTTACAATCGAAACGAAAGAAGAAGAGGAAGAGAAAACATCTTTCGAAATCAGCTCTTTGCCTAGGAATGTGTGAAATCGAAACAAAGCAAAGAAATATTTGCCACCTAACTATAGCAACATATGAAGTTAAAGTTTGTAAATATTTTAAAATAACTAAATATACCTAGCATCACTGTAATTTAAAAATAAAATTTAAGTGGATACATAATTATAAGAATGAAATCCATAGCCGCTGCGTTAGTGCGGAGATTTAGGGACATGTTTGATCTTTTTCAGATGAGTGAAGAGTCATAAGGAATTCATCTTGAACTGTATTACTCATCGCTAAAAGTCAGTGAAATTATAAACGTTGTTTGAGCACTCCACAAAATTTGCACTTACTACAGTGGAAGATTTGAACGCAAATGAATCCCATTTTGTAAGCCGTCAGGAGGAGGGGAAGAACAAAGCTTATCTTTCCATAGCAAATCGAATTCAAGGCAACATACGCACCTCTTTTAGTAAAAACGAGTGCAATAATAAAAGCATCTTTTTTATGTAACTTCACATTTTATGTATGTATGTATCTATGTGCATACATCTATTAATCTAATATATAAAAATCTCGTGTCACGGTGTTAGTGGTCGAACTCCTCCGAAACGGCTGGACCGATCTTTATGAAATTTTTTGTGTATATTTGGTAGGTATGAGAATCGGATGTAAAGTATATTTCATATCGCTAGGTTCAGGGGGCGTGGCACCTCCCATACAAACCGAATATTTCATACTGCATATCTCTGAAAGTGTTCACGGTAGAGTACTCTTACTTGGTATGGAGATATATCAAACCAATGGCATACTCATGGAGAAAAATTGTGGTTATTGGAAAAAGGGGCGTGGCACCTCCCATACAAACCGATTTTTTCATACTACATATCTCTGGAAGTGTTCATGGTAGAGTACTCTAACTTGGCATGGAGATATATCAAACCAATCGCATACTCATGGAGAAAAATGGTGGTTATTGGAAAAGGGGGCGTGGCACCTCCCATACAAACCGATTTTTTTATACCGTATATCTCTGGAAGTGTTCATGGTAGAGTACTCTAACTTGCATGGAGATATATCAAAGCCAATCGCATACTCATGGAGAAAAATTGTGGTTATTGGAAAAGGGGGCGTGGCACCTCCCATACAAACCGATTTTTTTATACCGTATATCTCTGGAAGTGTTCATGGTAGAGTACTCTAACTTGGTATGGAGATATATCAAACCAATCGCATACTCATGGAGAAAAATTGTGGTTATTGGAAAAGAGGGCGTGGCGCCTCCCATTCAAACCGATTTTTTTATACTGCATATCTCTGGAAGTGTTCATGGTAGAGTACTCTAACTTGGTATGGAGATATATCAAACCAATGGCATACTCATGGAGAAAAATTGTGGTTATTGGAAAAAGGGGCGTGGCACCTCCCATACAAACCGATTTTTTCATACTATATATCTCTGGAATTGTTCATGGTAGAGTACTCTAACTTGGCATGGAGATATATCAAACCAATCGCATACTCATGGAGAAAAATTGTGGTTGTTGGAAAAGGGGGCGTGGCACCTTCCATACAAACCGAATTTATCATACTGCATATCTCTGGAAGTGTTCAGGTAGAGTACTCTAACTTGGTATGGAGATATATAAAACCAATCGCATACTCATGGAGAAAAATTGTGGTTATTGGAAAAGGGGGCGTGGCACCTTCCATACAAACCGAATTTTTCATACCGCATATCTCTGGAAGTGTTCATGGTAGAGTACTCTAACTTGGTATGGAGATATATCAAACCAATCGCATACTCATGGAGAAAAATTGTGGTTATTGGAAAAGGGGGCGTGGCACCTTCCATACAAACCGAATTTTTCATACTGAATATCTCTGGAGGAGTTGATGGTAGAGTGCTCGAACATGGTATGGAGATATATGAAACCAATCGCATGCTCATGGAAAAAAATTGTGGTTATTGGAAAAGGGGGCGTGGCACTTCCCATACAACCGATTTTTTCATACTGCATACCTCTGGAAGTGTTCACGATAGAGTACAGGAATTTGGCGATTAGGGTGTCCCTATCCTAAAATAATTTTCTCTATTTTTTCTTTTAGATCTTTTGGTATTTTTGTATGAAAAATCTAATATATAAAAATATCGTGTCACGGTGTTTGTGGTCGATTTCCTCCGAAACGGCGTAACCGATTTGAATGAAATTTTTTGTGTATATTTCGTAGGTATGACAATAGGGTGTAAAGTATGTTTCATACCGCTAAGTGAAGGGGACGTGGCACCTCCCATACAAACCAAATTTTTCACACTTTATATCTCTGCAAGTGTTCATAGTAGAGTACTGGAACTTGGTATGTCCAAGACATATAAAATCAAACGCATAGTCATGAAGAAAAATTTGAAAGAAGAAAAATTTGAAGAAAAAGGGGCGTAGCACCTCCAATGCAAACCGAATATTTCACACTGCATATCTCTGGAAGTGTTCATGGTAGAGTACTTGAACATGGTATGGAGATATGAGAAATCACTCCCATACTCTTAGGAAAAATTGTGGCTATTTTATAAGGGGGGTGTGGCGCCTTTCAAATGGTACTGAAGCTATTACGTATCTTTGTATGCATATAAAATTTTGCTAGGTTATTTAAGATGGTAATGGAAATATGCCTTCCGACAACCACCAAACCGTAATATTAGAAGATAAACGCGTCACTGAAAATCATGGACGTGAACTGTTGGTGAAAATGTTGTACCAAAATGTTTCAATACAAAAAATTAATTTTGGGCGGGACGAAGTTCGCCGGGTCTGCTAGTTTTATATAAAAAGAATAAATTGCATTCAGTGCATTTCACAGTAATGTAAACAAAAACGTCTGGACTTCCACTTTGAAAACGTCGACATCCCTTTTGGTTGCCATTATTTGAGCCAATTTTTCGTATTGCCCGTATTACCGCTCGCGAAAACACANAGCCAATTTTTCGTATTGCCCGTATTACCGCTCGCGAAAACACAGAAATCGGGAAAATTCATTTATTATGACTTTTACAATCATGCACAGTATATTTTACTTAAATTTTTTATAAAATTGTATTATTTAAACCCACGAAAATAACAATTGAAACGTTCCCCTTAAACAAATTTGCAACTTAGAAAAACGGAACTACGATCGAAATGTAGAATAGGTATAATCGTAAATTTCGAAGATTGACCGACACGAAACGGAACGCAGAATAACATAGTTGCCAAAAGGGGAAAATTTCGATTCGAGTCGAAACGCAAAATAGAGCTGAATACTTTCTGGATTATTAAATAAATAAATCAGTATCCGGCACATCTCTACTTTTGTTTTAATAAAGGATACTTCAATGCATATGAAACTGCACTTTGTTTATAGAAATAATATTTTTACCAATGAACGCACGCTGTCAAAGTCAGCAGTTGTGAGNGGAAACTATAGGAGATAACTAAAAACTGATAACACCAATCGAAAGACCTTATTTCAAAATATATAACTGCATCTAGAACTAAAAATCGTCAAAATGGCGCTTACGACAATCTTTTACCCAGTCGGCGATATGTAAATGATCATTGACGTGTTTGTTTACATTAAAACGCAACTAAGCATTGAAATAGTGGTATTTTTTATTTTTATTTTTTAATTGTGACCATTTCTATTGACAGTATGGCCCCTTGTAGACAGTTGGGTGTATGGCCATGGACCCACGATGTAGCGAACAGAAGGTGGCGCATTCCGCAAACCGATAGCTTGGTTTTGCCGATTTTTATAGTTCTCGATTTTCGAAAACAACGCCTCATAAACTTTAAATGCACAAAAATTCACTATACTTTCACTAAATAAATCACCGTTTTTTCACATTTCCTTTATTAATTTTTATTACAAATCATATATTCCTATCGAAAGATGGAATATTAAGATAATTGACTAATCCCCCATTCTCTTTTATCCTCCTATTCGGCTTCCCTACGTTTTACCCACAAATGTCATCGCGGCCTTATGTCCCCCACCTTTTTGTTTACATTTTACCCTGAAGTTAGATTTTGTTTACCATTTTGAAATTTTAGGGTACAAAATTAAGTTTATAGTTTTGCTCTGGTGCTATTACCTGTTTAACGTGATCTTAGTGGACAACAGTTCTTACTCTTATCATTTAGATTTCAAATATCACCGAACCAACGCTTGACAATATTGTTATGTACAGTCTACTGAGTTTTTGTTTTCGTACGCGACTAAAACATTCCAGATATTTTTTCCTTGCTCAAAATGCCGGTTTTATGTCAACCCAAAAGTCAATTGTCACTAAGCATATGCAAATTAGTGACCAAAATAATATAAAAAGTAACCAGTATTTACTCTGGAAAGGACTTCGAAATGAGTTAACTATACCATTACCAAGTAATTCCGTACACGTTTGTCTCGCAAAATAAACTAAACAAATTGGTATGATGCATTGTATTCCAGCGCCCGAGTAACTACCAGTAAATGCCACTAAGCTTGTGATGCTCTCAGTGAAGTATGTGATTATGAACGGGGGCACAACAGCCAATAGGGGAAATAAAATTTTTCGTAGAAAATAATTATATGAATCGAAACGCTCCATATCCAAAAAGAAAGTCTGCAGATTATTTCTCAGTGTTATCGCTATAATTGGATAGGTTGTAGAGAGCGTAAATACTGGGTATAGCGTCAAAAAATACTCAATGGCAAGTAACACGTTTGCTCCATACATATGTCCGCTAATGGTATCGGGTATAAAATTAAGTGTATAGAGGTCCTGTAATTCTGCGAACGCAAATGCGCCTGTCAAAGATAATACAATATAAAACGTGCATATCAGTATATAATCATATGAGATTATGCTTCGAATTTTTTGCTTATCGCTTATAGGTGTAAGCAAGCTGGGCAAAGAATGATGACACATGAAGGAGTAGATGCAAGCACCAAAAAGCGGTGGTACTCCATATATGTTAGCCGTTGGCGGATGGCCTGCGGCGCCTTTACTGAGCAAGATGCTTAGGGCGACTGTTATCATCGTGGCAAAGGCTAGAAAGAAACACAACTAAAATACTTAAAAATTAAAAAGTTGTTTACAGATTTACCAGTCCAACGAAAAGCCGCAGTACATATCTGCAAGTATTTGGTGTTTTGCACACTAAAATATGCAAAAGGGCCAAGCACGACGGTAAATCCAATTACAAACATTCGATACATTTGTAGGCGGGAAATTGTGTGTTCTGGCCAGCATGGAGTTATACCATCGTCCTCCTGGGTATCGGCGAAATTGTAGCGAGTTATGTTTGGAAGAACTGAGCTATTTGTTGTTAAGCTGTTGAGAGATAAATAATAATAATACAAAAAAACAATAATACAAGAAATTAAGAAACATTTATTCTGATACATTCATTATCCTGGGTGTTTTTGTAGAATAGAGAAAAGCCTTGTATATCCGATATTTTTCTATAATATATAATAATTAATGCAAATGGCCGTATCTGAAATTTTGCCGCAGAACTTTGCAATTTACATGGGAATTACTTGCATTGAACAAAACCTCGTATTATTTATGATTTGACTTAAAATCCTGACTAGCGATTCATTTTATTAAGTTGATAAAATACACAATCCTTTAACAAACTTATATTTTTTCTTATTTGTAATTATCGCAAAATTACCAGATAATTTCGATACGATTAAAAAAGTTAAAAAGTGGGCAATGTTTTACGTGCATCGTATGAGGAGATAGAGGATATTCTAAAACATTTCAATTACAGTGATGATATCATAGAAAAATAAAAATTCAGTATGATACGAAATAATTTTGTAAAATGGAATAATATAAGTAACAATGAAATTTTGGGCAGAAGTTTAAACTTATAGGGTGCAGGTGGCAACAAATTGTTTTCTGATCTGGCGGAATTTACACTTAATTTACTTTCACTACCTTGATGTAATGCAGACCTGGAACTTTATTTAGTCAGCTAAACTTTGTGAAAACAAAGCTACGGAATAGTATACTGTATATATAGCTTTTTTAACCTGTATTCTTATTTTTAGCCGACTTCAGGAGGTTATCAATTTGTCGGAATTTTTTTTTATGTATGTTACCGCATAACTTTAGACCACGTTAACCGATTTCTATAATTCTTTTTTTTCTCAAGGAAAGGTGGTAACTCAGAGGTGGTCCCATACTAATTTGGTTTAGATCTGATTATTCGATCACGAAGCAATTAACGGTACTCTTAAATTTTTATATGATTATTGAAGTCGGGTTGATTTTTTGCTTAAAAATTACTTGTTAATTTCTGAAGAACTTTGACCCCTGCTGTATTATTCAATCATTAATTTTAATTCAAGCAGTGTTTCAAATGAAATGCTTAAAATTATATTAATATAAACCTATTTAGTTGTCAGCTTTTGTTTTGTGGAAATTAGCTTTTTTCTAGCGGGTTTTTAAAAAAATCTGGATTTTTTTTACAGCATGGTGCTACTCAATAGAAAAGTTCTATGGTGAAAAGACTTTTTGCTGAGAAATTTTTACATTTCTGCTGTACCAATTCGTAACTTTTTGCTGCTGGAAATTTTCGAAAGTTGCTCTGGTGCAAAAGTAGTTCAGCAATTAAAACGCAGCAATTATATAAAAAATATTCGTATTCACTGTTCTTTATTCTTCGTTCGCTGTCTACCGCCTTCGTTGCAAAGTGAAAACTTTTGCTGCGTGTTTCAGTGATTTTACCATAAAGAATATTTAAAGTTTCTCATACATTTAGATATATAAGTAAAAAGTGTTGCAATAATTATGGCCGATTCCAATGGTGACGATTTAGCTACCGCAATCCTGAAACGCAAGGACCGCCCAAACCGTTTAATCGTCGAGGAAGGAAGGAAGCTGTGAATGATGATAACTCGGTGGTGTCTTTGTCTTAAGAAAAAATGGACGAATTGCAATTGTTTCGTGGCGATACGGTAATTCTTAAGGGTAAGCGGCGCAAAGAGACCGTTTGTATTGTTTTATCGGATGAAAATTGTCCTAATGAGAAAATTCGCATGAATCGTGTTGTACGCAACAACCTGTGCGTGCATTTGTCCGATGTGGTATCCATTCAATCATGTCCGGATGTCAAATACGGAAAGCGTGTTCGAATTTCGCCTATCGATGATACCGCAGAGGGCGTAACGGGCAACCTATTTGAGATCTACTTGAAGCCCTATTTTTTGGAGGCCTACCGGCCTATTCACATGGGCGATAACTTAATTATTCGCGCAGCTATGCGTCCCATAGGATTTAAAGTCGTGCTAACCGACCCTGAGCCGTATTGTATTGTGGCACCTGAAACGGTGATCTTTTGTGATGGCGATCCGATCAAACGTGAGGAGGAAGAGGAATCGCTAAATGCTGTCGGTTATGACGATATTGGCGGTTGCCGCAAGCAGTTAGCCCAAATTAAGGAAATGGTTGAGCTGCAACTTCGCCATCCTTCGCTTTTCAAGGCTATAGGTGTGAAACCACCACGAGGTATTCTTATGTACGGCCCACCAGGTACAGGAAAAACTTTAATAGCACGCGTTGTCGCCAATGAGACTGATGCATTTTTCTTCCTCATTAACGGTCCTGAAATTATGTCTAAACTGGCCGGTGAGTCCGAGTCAAACTTGCGTAAGGCTTTCGAAGAAACTGAAAAGAACTCGCACGCTATTATTTTCATTGATGAAATTGGCGCAATCGCACCTAAGCGTGACAAAACACATGGTGGAGTAGAACGTCGTATTGTGTCTCAATTGCTAACCCTTATGGATGACATGAAGAAGAGCTCACATCTGATTGTTATGGCCGCCACCAACAGGCCAAAGTCTATTGATCCTGCCTTGCGTCGTTTTGGACGTTTCGATCGAGAAATAGATTTTGGCATTCCCGATGCCACCGGACGTTTGGAAGTTTTGCGAATTCACACCAAAAATATGAAATTGCATGAAGACGTTGATTTAGAACAAATTGCTGCGGAAACTCACGATCATGTGGGTGCTGATTTAGCTTCGCTTTGTTCGGAAGCTGCTTTGCAACAAATTCGAGAAAAGATGGACCTTATCGATTTGGAAGACGATAAAATTGATGCCGAAGTATTGGCCTCCTTGGCAGTAACAATGGAGAACTTCCGTTATGCTATGACCAAATCGAGCCCGTCGGCATTGCGTGAAACTGTGGTGGAAGTACCCAACACTACCTGGACGGATATCGGTGGTCTGGAGAGTGTCAAGAAGGAATTGCAAGAACTGGTGCAATACCCAATCGAACATCCAGATAAGTTCTTGACGTTTGGCATGCAACCAAGTCGCGGTGTACTATTCTACGGACCACCTGGTTGTGGTAAAACTCTACTTGCAAAGGCCATTGCTAACGAGTGTCAGGCCAATTTCATTTCGGTTAAAGGACCAGAGCTGCTTACTATGTGGTTTGGTGAGTCCGAAGCCAATGTTCGAGACATTTTTGATAAGGCACGTTCAGCAGCACCTTGTGTGTTGTTCTTCGACGAGCTGGACTCTATTGCTAAGGCACGTGGCGGCAATGTGGGCGACGCTGGAGGTGCTGCCGACCGTGTAATTAACCAAATTCTTACCGAAATGGACGGAATGGGTGCTAAGAAGAACGTTTTCATCATTGGTGCCACCAATCGTCCCGACATTATCGATCCGGCTATCTTGCGTCCTGGCCGTTTAGATCAACTTATTTATATTCCACTACGCGACGATAAGTCGCGTGAAGCTATCCTTAAGGCTAACTTACGCAAATCACCATTGGCTAAGGATGTCAATCTAACCTACATTGCTAAGGTGACACAAGGCTTTTCCGGTGCTGATTTGACTGAAATTTGTCAGCGTGCCTGTAAATTGGCAATTCGGCAAGCGATTGAAGCCGAATTAAAACGAGAAAAAGAGCGTGCTGAAAAGCAAACCATGGAAATGGATGAAGATGATCCAGTACCAGAGATCACACGTGCACACTTTGAGGAAGCGATGAAGTTCGCTAGGCGCTCAGTATCGGACAACGATATTCGGAAATACGAAATGTTTGCACAGACTTTGCAACAATCGCGTGGCTTCGGACAGAACTTTAGATTCCCGGGCGCTAGCAGCACTTCACAAGGTTCCGGACCAAATGAACCAGCGAATCCGCCAGGTGACAATGGCGACGACGATCTTTACAGTTAGATTTTTAGTTTTAAAATCAATGAATATAAAACAAACCCAATTTTGTCAAATTGAAATATGCTTAAACAAGATAAACAATTTATAATTTGAATTCTAGAACTGAAAGCCATGCGTATATTAGCCGTCTTAGCAATAACGTATGAACGAAAAACACTTCAAAACCGTCTGGTAGATGTGACTCTTGCTGTCAAGTTTACCACTAGCCCTGCCAGTTCGGAAATTTTCATTCATTCATTCAGGGATGTTTCGCGTGTCATATTTTTCACATTCGCGAATGCGAATGCAAATTTTCGGAATGCGAATGTGCGAATGCGAATGTTAGGAATAACAATAAAAAAGCTATAATGAACATAAGTCATCGTTTTTATTACTCAAAAATTTTGTAAATTAGAATATTGAACGAGTGCTTAACCTATACAGTGTTTTAATCTACACCTTTTCAAGTTCGTAATGAGAAAATGTAAGATTATATTGAGAAAAAGTAAATTGAATTGAGATTGCGTTAATTGAAGTTGAGCAGTGTAAGTTCAAAATGAGAAAATATAAATCCAAATCAGAAAGCGTATAATTGAATTGGGAATTTATAACTTGATATTGAGAAATGTAAATTCATATTGAGAATGTGAAAATTCAAAATAAGAAAAAGTAAATTCATAATGAGAAAAAATAGATTCAAAATGAGATAATATAAATTTGAAATGAGATTTTGTAGGGTACTGAAAATCAAATTTTATTAAAAACAACATTTATGAATGTAAGTAAACAAAGATGTGACCAAGGAACATTACACCCCAACATGCATATTATTTAATACATGTGCGTCTGTATGAAAATTAGTTGAGTGCTGTACAGCCCTTGCGAAATCTCCTCAAATACTGTAATCTCTGTTCGAAAAGTCCGGAGGGATGAACATTTGGCACACGCAGGTTCGCTTTGACTTCCATTTTAACTTTAGCACAAATGTTCTCTATTGGATTTAACATTGGGGAATAAGGACCTAGACACAAAACTGCTTCTCCTCCCGAATTGTCTGCCACTTTCCTTTCTATCGAAGAGTGACATTGGGCAGACCATTACCAAATCCCGCACATTATTCCCCATGTTTTGCCAACGCTCAATGAG